TCAAGCACTGGTTTATTTCTTTTGTACCTCCTGCATTTGCTTAATTAGTATGACTTGGACTCCAATCATGTGTGCATCTGGATTCTGAATTCTGAATGCTTTAGTGCGTCATATTTGCTTGGCTACGAAGTCACTGCTTTGTTGCAACTTATCCCATACATACACCTTGCTTTATTGGTCAGACAGCCACCCCAATCCTAACATGTAGGCACACTGCATCACGATTCACTATATCTTTTTAGGTCGTATGAATTAAACAAAAAAAAAGGGGGAAAAGAAACCTCCGAGCAACCCCTTATTTGGAACAGTGCATTTCTTCCTCTGTATTTATCTATTATTTGCCATCTCCATCCCAGGCTACAGCGGCACCCCACCCCAACTTCGAAGGCACATTCATTGGCTTGGCTCAATATGGCTTTTAAGTCCACTAACACAGCTTCTCCCATCCCACTTCTTGCTCCTGATGGAACTTGAATTCCCAAATCTCTCTCATTATGTCAACTCAGAACAGGTCAACCAAAAGTTGCAATGTTAATTTCATGGCAATCAAGACCCATTTGGAAAAAAAAAAAAAAAAAAAAAAATCACACACACACACACACACACATTTTATCACACACATCTGTATCAGCTAATCCAATGTATTGTATCCGGGTGCTTAACAGAAGGAAGGAGGGTATTGGACTGCACTTTTCTGGAATCGAAGTATAGTATCCACCTTGTCACACGTCGTCTCCCCTTGCTGTTAGATCTGAGCCAGCTGTCACAACCCCAGGGAATGCACCCATTCATGGAACAGCTGCTTGCAGCAAGACTCAGCACTCCTCATCGCGGCTGCTTTTGAAACATGTTGGTTATCTAGATATTTCAACAACCAACTCAACTAGCCCCAGGGAACATACCCGCCCATACAACAGCTGCTTGCGGCAAGACTCAGTAGTCCTCTTCACAACTCCTTTTGGGAGAGAGCATCCTTCCAAGGCCCTGGCTGCTGCCCAATCCACGAGTCCCCATTGGTGTCTCCCTTGATACACTGACAATCCTGCCTGCAGTGACTACCTCTGCACCTTCTCTGGCTGCTGCTTCTCCTGATTCTGCCGCTGGTGCCGCTGCTTTTGCTGGTGTCGCTGCCGCTTCTGCTGCCGCTGCTGCTGCTGCCGCCCCTGCTGCTGCTGCCCCTGCTGCTGCTGCTAATCCTTCAGATTCTTCTGCTGCTCCTCCTGTCTGTGCCCGGCCTCCTGTCCCTACCACTACTCGTGCTGGGAAGAATGGTTCTGGCAGCAGCAAAGTCTCATGCCCCTTAGACCACATGCCATCACTGCCACCAGTGGTATTGGTAGTGGGATATGCAGCCATGGCAGCAGCAGTCCCCTCCTCTGATGCAAACGAGACTCCAGACCCATTACACATTGGCGTGAACACATAAAATCTCTGTCCCAATGATGGTCCCAGTGCTACGGATGGTGCTGGTCCTGTGAATAATCCCATTTGTTCACCTGCAGTTGTGTCGCCAGCACGCATCAGATTGGTGGTGCTATGAATATCATTGCTGCTGTTTTGACCGACGCTGTGTGGAACACCAGAGTCAACGGGGAGCGCGGCGCGGCAGTCTATGCTGGTACTGGAGTGGTGACTGAACCCACTGACCATTCTGCTGCTGATTTCCATGTTGTCGTCCTCATCCACATCTAGTAGAAGTGCCTCCAGCTCCTCTAGTTCCATCCCATGTACCGATGTCATCATATCATCTCCTCCTTCTCCTCCTTCCACTCCCCCTCCTTCTCTTACTCTCATAGCTGCAACTCCCAACCCTACTGTCTCCACCACTGCACCGGTTGGTTCTATCCCTGCTGCTGCATCTCCCTCTGCTGTCACTGCCATTCCTGAACCAGCTGCTGCTACCCCTGTTGCTACTACCCCTGCTGCTTCTACCCCTACTGCTGCTACTCCTGCTGCTGCGACTCCTGCTGCTCCAACTCTCACACCTGCTGTCGAGCTTTCTTCTCCATGATCCATCCCCAAACCATGTGCTCCTGCGCCCCAGCTGCTGCTACGGATCATTCCTCCCAAGCCACCCCATTGTCCCATCCTCTCTCCTTCCATCCCTTCTCCAGCCACCTCCGTTTCTCTTATCTCCCACAGACTGGTATGCAGCAGGTCGCTAAAATACCTACCATATAACCTTCCCTGTCCCTCCAGCTCTTCATGCATCGACTGGGATTGGTGATACTCTAGGCTGTGGGAGGTGCGAAAGGGCGTTTCATACTGGTTGGCGCCTTGACTTAGTGCCTGAAGTGGTAGAGAGACAGCGGGACAAGAAACGCTTCTCTGCCATGGAAGGTGGGGACTGAGTCCCTGGTGCTGAGGCATGTACTCTTGAGCCCTTAGCCATGGGAAATCATCCCTGGGCTCATCCACGTGGTCTTGCTTACATTTGGAGTCTTCTTCTGCTACAGGCTGTTGCTGCTTCTGCTGATCAGGACTGAGTCTCTGCTGTTGAAGTGTTTGATACTGGTGGAGTTCAGCATGCTGCTGCTGCTGCTGACGTTTCTTCTTCTCCTCCTCCTGCTGCTGGCGTTGCTGGTCCTGGTCCACAGGTTTTCCCCCTTGCTGTCCTTTGTGCCTTTTCCCCCGTGGGGATGCTGTTGAGGGTGGTACAGAGGGTACTACAGAGGGTGATGCGGCTGCATGTAAGGGTGCATCAAATGAATGCGCATGTGCTATCCTCAGATAACTTGCTGCTGTGCTGTTCTGGAACCCTCTAGGCTCAACTCTTCGAGCTGCAGAAGCTACCTCAGGAGTAGCAGAAGGCGCAACACCTGTTGGGACCACACCAGGTCCTGACCCTCCCAAGGGTTGGGGTTCACTTGCAACCAAATGAGCCACAGTGGCAGTGGCAGTGGAAGCAGCAGCAGCAGGGGGAGGAATAGTAGGAGCAGTAGCGGTAGCGGCACTGGAAGCGGCCCTAGGGGAAGTTCTGGTAGCAGGTGTGGTGTTGGTGACCTGAGTTCGCAAGAGGGAGTTGAGAATGTCAGCTAGCTCTTGCAGATCCTCAACATGGATATCTGGATCTGCTAACCTGTCACCTCCTTCACCTGAACCAGCAGCACCAGCAGTACCAGCAGCAGCTGCAGCAGCCATATTATCAGCAGCAGCAGGAGAAGCTGCACCGGCCGGCCCTTCTTGCTGTAGGTGCCTCTGATGCTGGGGAGTGGTTATCTGCTGCTCCTGCCTACTTGTCAGCTTCTGCCAGTTCGGTTTCTTCTTTCTGGTTGTTTGATTATGTTCCACGTGCCAACTTCCCTGCTCTTGGTCACCCTTCCCCTGCACCTTCTGCCCGTCCTCTTCTCTACTGTCCAGTTCTACCCTCCAGTCCAGTTTTTTCGCCAGTTCCCACTTCTTCTGCTCCTTTTGCATCTGCTGTTCCTCTTCCGTTTGCTGCTGCTCTCCCATTCCATCCCTGCCCTCCACACCACCATCACTCCTGCCGCTTCCAGGCGGCTTTAATTCAAACAGATAGTGCTTGAAAGATGGCAAGTTCTCCGGGCATAGCGGGCCCTTCAAGAACCCCCCTGCTTGTCTGCTGCTTTTCTGCTGCTTGTTTGCTGAGCTGCTGCTTAGCTTGTCTGCTCCCACTCCTGCTCCTGTTCCTTGTACCTCCATCGGTACTGCTTCGACTGCTTCTCCCTCTGCTGCTCCTGTTATTGCCACCTTTGCCACTATTGATGCGTCTTCCTCCTCTGGACCTACAGGAATCGTTGCACCTACAGCTGCTTCTCGGTTTGCCACAACGCTGCTCCGCACATCCACAGGCATTGTGCAGCATGAGGAGTTGGGGGACAGGCTTCTTGAGAGGGTAGTTGGGGAGTTATTCCGTGGAGAATCTAGTGAGGGTGAATCACCTCTAAAGTGCACGCCATGCACTGATAAACCCGCATGGTACCCTGCCACTGGTTCCTCTTCGTCCGTCTCTGGTTTTCCTTTTGGTGAAGGAGCCCCACACAGCTGCTGCATCACCATCATCTGCTGTTCTACCATCTCATTCCGTGACACCATTGGTTGTGCTACCACAGGTTGCTTTGCCCCCATCGCTTCTTCCTCCGCTGTCAGGGAGCTTCGTTTGAGCACCCGTACAACCACCCATGACGTCGTGCCAATCCTCCTATCACTGCCAGGTTCGGTCTTTGGACTGTTGGCTTTGGGGCTGCTGCTACTGCTCCTGCCGAAGCCACCAACTACATCACCTCCTGCACCAGTATCTGGGTGCGTCGCTTCGTGCGTTCTGCTGCCGGTCCGGCCTATGGCAGTGCCACCAGCTGCAACCACACCAGGTGCGGTGCTTTGTGTAGCAGCTGCTGCTGGGTCTGATTCGCTCGCTGCAGCTGTAGCTCGTACCACATCTGTAGCAGCAGGTCCAGCTTCAGGCGAATCCTCTGCCAGTCGGTACTCGTGCATGACCCAGTCAGTCTTGTCCCCTCCTGGCGCTCGTCCCCTGTTGACCACACCAGCAAATTTGAAAAAAAAAAAAAACACACACACACACACAAAAAAAAGATTCGGAGGACTTACCATATGAAGAGTAATTCAGCCACTCAAACATTGTCCAAAGACCCTCACATTTCTTTCCAAGCCAGAACAAGCAATCCAGCGACGAACTTAACAACAGCAAGCTGACCAAGACTCAAACAAACAACCCGGACACCTGATACCTACATAACGGCAGGGGGGTTGCTGATGCCTGAGAGGCGGAGATCAACACGCTGCAGAAATGAACTCACATATAAAAGACATGAGTCTTTTTTATTCCCGCCCTGATTGCCTCCTCCCTTTTGCCTTCACTACCACCGCTGCTGCTTGTGAAGCGCACGTGCACTGGCCTGTCCTTCCCAGTGGCCTTCCAGTACCCAGCAGTTGTGGCTCGGTTGGATCGGGATTTTGATGGGTACTTGAGGTCACGGGATGTGAAAAAGAACCACTCGCCGTCACCAGGAATAGGGCATTTTGCCCTGGCTGGAAGTGGAGGAGAGGGAGAGAAGAGAGAGGAAGGGAATTGATTGAGGTTGCGGGATGTGACAAGGAACCACTTGCTGTCTCCAGAAATTGGGAATGTTGCTCTGGCTCTGGGTGGTGCAGAGGGAGAGAGGAGAGCTGAAGTGGGGTGAGTGAGGAGTGAGTGGTGAAGCAAGAAAGACTCACTCGTCACCAGGTACAGGGCAAGGTGGGAGTGGAGAAGGGAACGATGCGATGGAGAGAGAGGAGGTCAAGGCCGCTGGGGATGCAAAGAAGCGCAACTTGTTTTCAACGATTGGGTATGTTCGGAGTAAGGCTGTGGATGGAGTTAAGAATTTGATGGGCATGGGGGAAGCGGTACTTGAGGGCTCCCAAAGCAAAGACCCAGTCGATATCTTCAGCAAACAGCCATGAAGGCTGGAAACACACAAGTTGCTCTAGCTCGAAATGGGGGGCGGGGGGGGGGGGGGGAAGGAAAGAGGGGGTTGTCAAGCAAAGAGGGCCAATTTTGTCTGTGCTGTGGGGCCTGATTTTCTCTGCCTGATATTGGATTGAAGGGAATAGTTTGAAAGAGGTGGAGTTTTCCTGAAATCAATAACCAGCTGAAGTTGCTAGTCATGGGGTTTGGTGCTCTGGCTGGTAATGGGTTGGGGGATGAGGCTTAGTCCCTGGATTCGACCAGTGAATCGGGAGTGAGAGATGAAAGGGAAGAGTGGCACTTCAGGTGGCCCGGTGGTACTCGGACAGGGGGGTATGTAATGTGAAAGTTCCAGAAGGTGGGAGGGGAGGAGGGGGGTGTTCTGGGGTCTGGGGTCTAGTGTTCTGGGAACACTAAAAAGGCTGCTGAGGGCAGTACCTGGCAGTTCCCAAGGCTCGAACTTGTACATATCAACGTCGCCAACTACGTTCCATGCGATGGGAAGGCCCTCCACGCGCCGCCTGAGGTAGTTACACAGCAGCTCCTCGTCTGTAGGCCGGAATCTAAATCCAGGCGGGAAACCCTCTCCGAGAATACTACGAGGACAGTTGTTACTACTAGTAGTAGTACTAGTAACAGCAGTGATGTCCATTGAAGTTCGCATGATTGCTTGAGAAAAACAAAGACTTTTGATTTTCCTGCCAATTATGCTGCATCATGTAATCTTGGGACTGCTCAAATGATAACCCAGTTTCGAGAGTATGAGCGTCGTGTATGGGCGGCATGTGCCGCGCGGATGCTTTGGCCCCACAAACGCTGAGCATCCGCGGAGAGATGACACTGGGGAAGGAAGTGTCATGATGTACACTGGTTCTGAGAGGTGGCCTGCTTCAGGGTTTGGGTTGGGTTGGGCCGGGTTGGGTTAGCTAGGGTTGGGTTGAGCTTGGTTGGGCTGGGCTGGGTTGGGCTCGATCAACCAAATTACAGATGATGCTCGCGAAACTGCCTGTCGTTTTTAATGGAAGCTACATTTGAAACTCCAAATTGTTGGGGTTTATGGGCAACGGCGCTATCGTTACAGGCCCGCGAGCTGTACACTGTTACTAGACTCAGAACTGAGCTTTGTAAACTCGCAGAAAAGTTACGAAACTTTCAATGAAAAAAAAAGCGTAGCTACTCATTTAATATAGACACTTCCTAAAGTCCATTTTGCCCTTCTGAAAAACACCATGCCCCAGTGAGGCCTATTTGGCCGAAAAACTTGGGCCCCTAAAAGAGCATCAGGTGTAGACAGCCTCACCAAATGCACATACGGTCCTACTGCACATTACAAGATGGCTCACTCTGTTAAGATAGTAGGTAGAGGCATGAAAGTAGGAACCCTAGACATGGCGAGAGTTAGGAACGAGAGTCGAGAGAGAAGGCCAAAAGAGGGGTTTCACTATAGACTCAAAGGTACAAATAGGCAAGAAGCATGACAAGAAGGTGCACCACCAAACAAGTTGATTAGGATAACTACACTACAGCTAGAACGACATGCAGTTATAACAATATAATTCTGACACACTCACATGTTCTGGACTGTACAGTACAGTAATCCCCTCCCCCCTACGCGTCCACCCCCCTCCACCCACCCCCTCCAACCCCCCCACCCCCCACCCCCCCTCCCCCCAACTCCCCGCTTCCCCCCTCCCCGAGACACAGTTGCCTTGTATTGCACTGTAGTACTGTACTCTTTGTTTGCATGCGATTGGCTGTTGGTGGTTTGTGGGTTGGCTGGCGGGCTCGGCCGTCTCCCAAGCTCGCATTTCTCACATGGCACGAAGGTCCCTTGCCGCCAGTTTCCGTACTTCTGGTTGGTTTAACATCGATCAAAATCAGCAGGCGAGCTCGGTTGACCCGAAGCTGCGTTTTGCCGCCGGACAACTGCAGCTTCCTCCCTGGTGTACGAAGCAGCAGTGTCTGCCTTATTGTCTGTTCCTGACGCTTGACAGCTTGTTGTCCGTCACCGTGTTGTCCCTCATCAAGCATGACAGCTTCGTGAAAAAAAAAAAAAAAAAAAAAAAAAAACCCCAAATTTCTTGGAAAACGAGGGATACCATAAAGGTCAACCTCACGGGATAGCCCTTGTTTTTTTTTTTTATTGTGCACTCTTTTGCTCTACTCCTGCCACGTAGGAGGGCATAAACAGCTGCCAATCCAATTATGATATGAACGGTAACTAACAGGCCTGTCGCTTGCAGGGCGTTTGCCATGCTGGACCTTGAATTCCAGGGCTGGGTTGCCCTTGAAAACTGAAATTGATATGTTGAATTTTTTCTGGCCCTGATTCCTTACAGGGCTGATTTCGGGCTTAGGCCTGGAGTGCAGGGGAGATTTTGGGCGAGCCCTGGAACAAAATCTTTCGAACCCCCCCTCCCACCTCCCGCCCCCCCCCCCCCCCCCCCCCCCCCCCCCCACAAACTCCTCCACTCCCCCTCCCCCCGTTTTTATCTTGATTGCATTAAAACCTGGCAAATCTGGAGTTACGTGGCTGGGCCACAGATTCAACTCAACCTACAACTGGTACTTGCGCCAATCACAACCTCGCTCCCATCCGATGACACACAGACAGCAGCATGAATCAGCATGGCAGAAGCAAAACACATCTCAGATCCCCGTCGTTCAGTGCACCAGCAGGCATGAATCGGCATAGCAGCAGCAAAACACATCTCAGATCCCTGGAAAGAGTTGGAAGAGGAGGAAGTCTGTTAAGCGTGCGTAGTGAATGACGCTAACTAGTGTTTTTATGTATTCTTTGCTTATTGTAATACTTGCAGAGTGCGGCTGTTAGTTTTGTGGTAGAAATGAGGCTGCAGAATTTTCGCGCCAAACCTGATTTACAGGGAGGGAAAAAAATAAGCCCTGAAGCCTAAAGGGCCGAGATTCGCCCCGATCCTACTAAATACAGGGTCGTACATGCCGGGCCCCCTGATTTGTCCGGGGGGGCCAAAACGAAACGACAGCCCTGGTAACAAACAAAGCACTTGGGCCAACACCACAGGTGGCACGCACGAAAGTACGACGCTGCCATTTTCCGTATGTCTGATTGGCTGATAAAATTCATCGATCAATTACAGCAGGCAGGCTTATCGCCCGGCCGTGGCTGCTTCCTCCTTGGTGCGAAGGGGTTTCGCCAGTCCGGCTACGGGCTACAGCTTCGTTCAGCCCAAAAATCTCAACGCCAAGTGGCTTGAAAATGTGGGTACCCCAAGGTCATCCTCAAGGGATTGTGCACTCATTTGCTTTTCGCCTGCCACGTAGTAGGGCAGAACTTAGCTGCCAGCCAGCTGATGAAACGAACGGTGGAAACAAAGCACTTAGGCCATCATATGCTGGACTTGGAAATGAACGAGAAGCACTGTATGATTCGCATTTTAAGTCTGGATCAGGTCTGATGCCAAATTTATCAAGCCACATTTGCCTAACTGTACAAAAAGTGGGCTCAAGTGGTACAGTGATATGCCAGAGGGATCCGCGCAATCTCTGGAGTCTGGACAATGTGTCTCGATACAAGAGAATTCGCCCTCTATACTTTTGAATTGAAGTGCTGTTTCGGGTTCATCTTATAATCTTCAAGGGTTGGCTTAGAGGCCAGCCCCTCTTCCTTACGGGCTCAACTGGCCCCCAACCCGAAATTTACGTTTACTTTCAAAACCCCCACCTACCCGAACTCCCCTCCTTTCCCTGGTTTATCTCTTCCTTGGCTTAGTTATAACCACCAGAATTTCTCCCACCTGGTCCATTCATTTGCAAAATATGTTGCTCAGAATTCTGACGAATGGGTAGGATATCCCCACGACAGCTTTCGGGACTCCCCTGTCCATAAAAAATATTTTTTTTCAAAACAGTGACACTCGAAATGTGTCAAGAGTCGCAACAACTGGTGCACGCAAAAGGTCAAGGATCCATTTTTGCCAAGTGCACCATCACGAACTGAAAAAAAAAATGGTTTTGCACATGGAAGGTCATGGGCTCGAATCCGGCTGGGGGCAACACATGTTTCATTCTCTATAACTAAAACAATTTTCAACTTGAACGGGTGATCAATTTTCAACAATGTAATGAATTCTCCATTTTCCTTACAGGTGTTGACTGCTATGCGTTCAACCCCGACATTTCAAACTTTGCATGTTCGGCATACATTCACGACCCACCGCGTCGCCTTTGGTTTTCCAGTCGCCAAACATGCACCCAACCTCGCATCCCCGAGGTTCCCTCCTAGCTATTAGCGCATGCCTTCATTGTATGATAGGTTCATTGAGTCACATCCTCGTTATTCGTGATTCCGCGCAGCTCTGTTTGACAACTCATAACACCTGGTATCATAGCTACTTTCCTAGTTCACCCTGCTTTTCGAGGGTAGTCTGGTGGCACGGGTTGGCTGGTATAGTGGACAGCAAAACAGTTGGCTGCAAGGTTCGTTAATTCTAACCTGCCCGACTCCGATAGTTTTTGCTTTCCGCTCGCCTGAAGGCCACGGATACCCGCTTGCCCACCAGACAGAGAGCTAGACGCATGCATCAGGATGCA